ATATTATGTCAAAGATAGGCTGATTTCATTTACCCCCACAAAAACTAGGCAAACGTCATTTAAACTTCATTTCTAAAACTAAATATTTTAATTTGGAGTCTCAGTCTACTTTGCTTTTTGTTGTTTTTTAAATAACTGGAGTTTGTTTTCTTAGAAAAATGACATGCATATCAAAAATATCTAAAAATTCAGATACTATGCAAAAGACAAAATATCAGAAATATTAAACATGCATAATTTCATCCTCCCAGAGATAAACTCATCATATTGGACCCAAGTTTTGTTTATATTTTTTTCCAAAATAATTGGATAACACCATATGTAAACGTACTGTTACGTGACTTGAACAAAATATTCGTCATTATACATTAATATACAACAAAGTTGTAAAGGTCTTCTCAGACTCAGGCAAAAATTGAATGGTGAATTCCAGTGCTGGTAGAAAGTAATACAATGCAAGTGGTGCAAAGAGATGGGGGTATTAAAAAAGGTAGCTAATAATGCTTTCTGGGAGCTGAAAGTTGGATCTTAAAGGATGCCAAAATTTGCCAAGCATTGAAGAGTAGAAAGCATTTACCAGATAGAAGAAAACTGCCTGTGAGAAACCACTAGAAACCAGCCTGTGGGAGACCTGGAGAAATCTAGTTCACCTGGTGGGTGGAGATTCAGCAGGAGGTGAACAGAGGGTGGTGGGACAGCTTTGTTCACCAGGCTGCAGAGTATGGAATTTGTTCTGCTGACAGTGGAGAGCCAGCGACTTGACAGAATCCATCACTGCTTTGTATTAAAGCAAATGGGAATGACCACAACCAAAACTCCCAGCTTCGCTCCTTTCTTAAAATCACATTTTTAGCCTGGCACAGTGGCACGCACCTGTAGTCCCAGCTACTCAGGAGGCTGAGGCAGGATTGTTTGAGCCCAGGAGTTCAAGTCTAGCCTGGGTAACATAGGAAGACCCCATCTCAAAAAAAAAAAAAAACAAAAAAAACACCACGTTTTAAAAATCCAAGTGTTTTTAAAAACCTTCATAGACAAGCCAAGCACAGTCTTGATGAACATTTCTCAGAAAATTCTTGTCACCTCTGCAGAAGCCTTTTAAAGCACCCTTTGGAGTTCTTCAGCAACCTGCCTTAATACATAGGGCATTCAATAACTGCAGCAATGGCAAATTCATCTTCAAGAGCACCCCGGGTAGAAGTTGTTTAGGCCACTCTCCCCGTGGAGAAAGAATGTGTTTGGCTCTGCTAGATGTCTGCAGGAGGGCTCTGATGAGGAAAGCTGTGGAACCTAGTATTGGCCATTTGTTTTTTCTTGTGGAACAAGTTGTTTCTTAGATAGCTCACTGCTGCCACCCAGTGTAGAAATGCTAGAATACAGCTTTGAGAGCTTTCAGACTTTGAAGGATGGATCCAATTGAAACGTCCTTCCTCAACTTTCTGATCTGCTATTTCAACTCTTCTTTCCCTATATGAATTTAAGAGACAGCCCGGCAGACAGTTTTTTCCTCTGCGTTTTGAGGCAATACAGTGAAGTGAGGAAAGCACCAGTCCTAGCTCTTCACAGACTAACTCAGTGACCTTGGATAAGTCCCATATCCTTTCTGAAACCGTTCCCCTGCTCTGTGTGTGTGTGTGTGTGTGTGTGTGTGTGTGTGTGTGTGTGTGTGTGTGTGTGTGTGTGTGTGTGTGTTGTAACTCTTCCATATTTCTAGTGTCTCTAGTCTCTCAGGGGCATACTTGTTTCAGTATGTACCCATTACACCATAACTCAGATTGGCATCAGTCTGAGTAAAGAAAAAAATCTTTGGCATTTTGAAAATTCAGGAATGGCTGCAACCATCTATGATTAATATGTCGATATATAAGTCATATCATCCGAATGCATATTCATGCGAAAGTCTTAGCGGCTTTAAGCCACAATCACATGGTGCAGTGGAAAGAACCGGCCTTTGCAGGCAGACAGACCTGGGTTTAAATCCTATGCCTGCCGCTCTCTGCATGGCTTCGATAAGGTGCCCTCCTTCCCTAAGCCTGTGTCCTCAACAGCACAGTGGGGATGGCAAATCTTACTTCACATGCCGTAATATCTGCAGAGCAGTGGACACCAGGACTGACGAGCACCAGACCTCTGTTTATAAAAGCAATTGTTACCAGTTACGCTCTGCAGTTTGCGTATTTATCTTGAGCAAATTTTGCTCTGCTCTGAGACGGGGATTATTCATCTGTCAAATGGGATCATAGTTCCTTCTCTTAGAGTTACACATGACATAACCACCCCAAAGCACCTGGCAACTCATAGGTACTTAACAAATGCTAGTTCCTTTCTTTCTGAAAATACTGATGCATTGCAAATAATTATGGAATTAGTTATAAAGCTAAAACCAGGTGTCCTCAAACTACGGCCCACGGGCCACATGTGAGTGTTTTTGCCCGTTTGTTTTTTTACTTCAAAATAAGATAATGTGCAGTGCACATAGGAATTTGTTCATAGTATTTTTTAAACTATAGTCCGGCCCTCCAACGGTCTGAGGGACAGTGAACTGGTCCCGTTTAAAAAGTTTGAGGACCCCTGGCTAAAACTGTGCTTATCCCATAAGCACACTCCCTCTCTCCCATTTTTGGTTCTCTCTCTTTCTTGTTGCACACCTTATTTTTTCCCATCTCTGTCATCAAAAGTTAACCCAAAAAACAAGGACATTTGGAAGCTTTAAAAAAAAGAGAAAATTTATTTTAGGATCATCATGATTTATTTCTATTCCTCACACCAGGTGTTTGGGTCCTTATTTGAGTATCTGTGCATTTACCTGTCCCCACCCCCACTGGCCGCACCTCAGCCACTCTTCCCTCTGGCCATCACCCCTGTTCTGTTCTCCCATGCTCCCCCCACCTCTCCACCTCCACTGGTCAGACTCTTTTTTTACAATTTTGGAGACCATCTCAGTGGGTGTATTATCAGAGAAGTCCTCCCAAGCCTCCTCCCCCCAGCAGGAAATGACTGCTGCCATATTCGTGCTTCTGAAGCACACCTTTCTGAAGGGAGAGATTGGGAAAGGGATTTACTGTGTATTGAGTCCATGCTACGGCGACACTTTTAACCTTCCCATTAACCTTCTCAGGTAAGTATCACCCTCTCCATTTTACAGATGGAGAGACTGAGGGCCTATCCATTCCTTGATGAAACAAACATTTATGGAACACCAATTGCCAGGCACTGGGATGCAGCAGTTAATAGCGGCGCAGCTCCTGCCACCTTGGATCTTACAGGGTCTTAGATGGGATGAATCCAGGAGGCAGGAATGAAACCAGCAATAGACTGTTCCAGTTGTGAAGAAGGGTGGAAGAGAGGGCTGTGCCATGGCTGGAAGGTTAGAGAGCACATCCCTTAAAAAGGGACATTTCAGCTGAGACCCGAAGGCTTCACACAGCTTGGATAGTGAGCAGCAGAAGTGGAATTGAGATGTAGGTGAGTTAGTGCTACTGAGCCTCATATAAATATTTGTGTTTATGTTATCGCATTTTAGCTTGTGATCCACATCGCTTTCTCCCCAGTAGGTTGTGGCTCCTTGAGAACAGTCGCCTCATCTCCCAGGCATCTAGTACAAGTAGTAAGCAGAAGCTAGTGGCCATTTAATTTTTCAATACATGTATTTGGATATAATTGCCTGCATTTAATATTATCGGGATGCAAAAGTGCTTCGATTCTGCCCTGTATATTGTTAGCTCTTTAACCAACACATTTGGATGGTTTTTGAATAGGAAGCTTCTCTACACACCTGGGCACTCCCCTGCTCAAGCTCCTTTTACTCAGATGTTTTCTATTTTATAAGCAGGGGGTGATCCAGGTCAGGATGCAAAAGATGTAGCAGCTGCAATCAGCTCTGTAACAGGTAGAAGTTGGAAGCAGCTCATTCATCTAATTAAAATGACCTTAAACTTGTCCTCCCAAAATGCTAAATGGAACAGGGCTCATTACCAGCCTGCCATTCAGACCATCACTGGCGATGAAATAGGGTCCACTACCCTGTGCTAGGGTGGGGGATACAAAGATAAAAGCGCCTGCAGCGATTCGATGAGCCTTTCTTTTTCCTGACAGTTAGTAGCTCTCAGTCTAGTAGGGCCAACAGACATGCCCAGAGCCATGCACACGCAGATGTACAGACCAGTACATTACATGTAAGCCTCAAGGTGTGCCCAGGGGGAAGGAATGGCTACTTCCACAGTGGGAGTGTGGATGTCTCCCAGGCAGGTGGCAGTCATCTTGTCTGAGTTGGGAGAATGAATGGCAATTAGCTAAGTGAAGAGGGGAGGACACTATGTGGTAAGAGCAGGCCATGGGCAAGGGACTCAGCCTGTGCAGGGTCCCAGAGGAAGAGAAAGGATGGCACATTTGGGATTTGTCAGTACTCACAAGAGCCAGGCAGGTGATGCATGACAGGACTTTGATATGTTCTTCATTTCTGTTAAGAAATGTCCTCCCAGCTGCTTTTCTTGACTTATACCCATTTAAGTCACCCTTCATTTTTGTGTCTCTGATTGAAACTCAGAAGTTGTTCTCTACTGTAAGAAAAACAGAAGTCCAAATCCAGTTATTGTATTAGTTGGATAAAAGATACTTGGCTCCTGTTGGGGAGACAACTGGGAGCGGTGGGGCCTGGGGCAAACTGGAGAGCATATTCTCTTGCTGAAGAGGACGGCTATTCTTCCACTCTGTCTGCTCAGTGGCTCCAGATCTTGCAGCTTTTCAGAGCAAGAAAGCAACCTGGATTTTGGCAAGGTAGTCAAATTTTTAAATAATGCCTTAATGTAAAACAAAAACCAAAAAAAAAAAACCCCTGTAGACCAAATGAAACACATCCTCATGCTGAACCTTATTCATGGGCCATGCTTGCAAAATGTTTTGTTTAAAGACTCCAGAGGTTCCAGGAGTATTTTCAGACTCCTTCATCAATCGTTGCTCTGCTTGTAGTTTCTCCTAACCATCCTTCTCCCCTTGCTTTCCAGAAAGAGATGACGAGCAGAATGTGTCACTGATGCTCCATCATGCCCTTTGGAAGAAAGGAAAGCTGTTTCCTCCTGGAGCCGTGTGGGCAGGGGGTAGACCTCCCTGGCTGAAATGGCGCAGCAGGGGTGGAGGCAAGCTGTCACTCCTGAGGGACGCTCCCCACTCACTTCGTGTGCTCTTAACCCTCTGAGTGCTGCTAGCCCAGACCTGTGGACCAGGCAGACCACACCGTGAAAGAAGGACCCGCCCCTTGACGCTTCTGGCTCAGAACGTCAGGAGGAAGCCTCTGCACTTCCATGCATGTCACAGTTCTGCCTGTGACCTGCCGCCTAAGCTTTACTGGAATTCAGGTTTTGAGACTGAGATGCTTATTTGTACTTTTCCACTTTTCTGTCTTGTCAGCTGGCCGACTTTTCTGTAATTGGTTTTCTAAGTACCAAGTGAATTTTGGAACTCTGGATGCCCTGCAAGTTTTTCTGCAACAAGCCGCCTTTTCAGGTCTCTGGAAGCTCCCTCTCTGATCCTGTGGTTTAACACTGTGCAGGGCTGTGGAGCTCTGAGAGATCCAAAGTCCCCCATTAGCCCCCAGCAGCATCTGTACAATTTCCCCAAGAAGTAGTTTTATCAGGGACCCCTCCATGACGTGGCTTGTCTCTGCCCCAAACAGGGTCTTCATGTTCTAACTACAGGGAAGAGACTGGTCACTAGCTTAAAGCTAACAAGTCACCAGTTCGCCTGATCAGAATGTATTTTTTATAATCACCGTCATTCCTTGTCTCTTCAGTTGAAGATACTCTTTCCTCTTTCCCAAAGAGAGAAATAAAAAGGAAGTTTTAAATGACTAAGAATGATCAGCAGGAACCCTGAGCCAGATTAGTGCAGTGTTTGTTCTTTATGAAAGGTCGGGGAGTCGTGGCTGTCTCTACATGATACTAACATTTCAGTGAAAAAAATTAAAGCGCATCTGGTTATTTGGTGCATGTAGATTTAACACCCAGCCCATTGACTTGTAACCTTCCCAACTGGCCCCTCTGAGCCTCTAAACCCAGCAGATGTTTTCTTCCTCCTCCACACTCCCCCGCCTCTGTCTTGTTATATTATGCCACAGAATTAATTTCTGCCCCTGTGATTGTGCCACGGTTGCCAAGGTAACAGTGGAGCTGGAGCTAACTTCCTTCTTCCATCCTTTCCAATTTATCTATTGCAAAAGACAGTCAGGATAATGCATTCTGTACCACATCCTGCCTTTTGAAACCTAAATGAGTTTTAGTTGATGAAATGTTGCCTTCTCTGATTCATTCACAAAACTGTGGTGGTTCTTACAGCCTGTGACTAGGGGGTCATAACACTTCCAGTGATCATTTGAATTTAACAAAATATCAGTTGGTGGAGGGAAGTAGGTAAGAATGTATTAGTGCATTTTAATGTAATAACGATTAAAGATTAACTGAACAACTCTGATTTTGTTTTATTATACTTGATGTGTTAAAGCCATTTCTTGCTGTCACAAAAGCCTAGAATCATGAAATCTTTGTCCAAACTAAGAAAGCACTGACTGTGTGTGTGTATGGTGGCGTCCTATGTTGACCTTGCCAAGCAGGCGATCCTTGCTTCATATCCGTAAAGGTTGTCTCACGGATTCCAAATGCTGCTACCTCTCCATGTTGTTGTGCTCTGGTCAACAATAAACTTTTTTTTTTTTTTTTTTTGCTTCCTTAAGTAACTTTGAGAGTACAAGATAGACAAAGATTTTCCTTAGCATCATTTTTGGCTGAAAGATTATCTGACTATCCTAAGGATCCAGAGAACAGAGATACAAAAGCCCCTAATTCCTAACCTGTGCGATATGTAGTTATCACATGGGCATGCAGAACAGTGGGACAGAGAGAGGACAGCGTGGAGCCCCAGCCCTCCAAGGAACTCTGTAGAACTCTGTAGCTCTGCACCATGGAACACCATAGGATTTTTTTTTTTTTTTTGAGACAGAGTCTCACTCTGTTGCCCAGGCTAGAGTGCCGTGGCGTCAGCCTAGCTCACAGCAACCTCAAACTCCGGGGCTAAAGCAATCCTTCTGCCTCAGCCTCCCAAGTAGCTGGGACTAGAGGCATGCGCCACCATGCCGGGTAATTTTTTCTATATATTTTTAGTTGGCCAATTAATTTTTATTTTTAGTAGAGATGGAGTTTCACTCTTGCTCAGGCTGGTTTCGAACTCATGACCTTGAGCGATCCACCCGCCTCAGCCTCCCAGAGTGCTAGGATTACAGGCGTGAGCCACTGCGCCCGGCCTGGATTTTGCATTAAAAACTTGAGTATGTTCCTGCATTTCAATAATACTTACAAAGGAAGCTGGAATCCGAAGACCTTTGTTATTAATTCAAGGTTATTGTCTATTAACTATTTGTGCATATTAAATTTCTACTCAATTTAAAATCCAAATTTCTTTAAACCTCTTAGAACAATTTCCTTCTGGTTATATTGTTAATAATTGCACTAATCAACTCTTCTGGGGTAAATTCTGGCAAACTGTTCTTATTTTTTAATTACAAGGTGTTCCTATTCCCACAGAACTTTGTTTGGCAAATTCTAAAGAAAATCCTTATAGGCAATTTCTAATCTCCTTGGCCTGACTACATTTTACCTGCATCTCTATTGTAAATGGAGCTTCAGACCTCTGGGTCAAAGACTGACAACCCTGCTACTTCCTCCTAGCCTTTTTTTTTTTTTTTTTTAATTTTAGGAAATTTCAGGTGGAAGTTTCAAAATTGAAAGACTACAATAAGCACCCTTATGTCCTTAAGTGCATCAATTGTTAATATTTTGCGGCATTTTCTCTTTTTTTATAGACAGAGTCTTGCTATGTTGCCCAAGCTGGCCTCAAACTCCTGGGCTCAAGCAACCCTCCTGCCTCAGCCTCCACAGTAGCTAGGGCTACAGGTACAAGCCAGTGCACCCAGCTCATACGTTCTTTCTCACTGTAAATACACATTCTTTTTGCTGAACCATTTGAAAATAAGTTGGAGACCTCATGACAATGCAAAATACTTCATCATGTTCCTCCTATTAATAAGGACATTGTCCTATAAATCTGCAATATTGCACTCACAAAACTGAACACTGATACTGTATCTAATATAATTCATATTCACTCTCCAGCTGTCCCAGAGATATGCTTTATAGCTAATTCTTTTAAAAATCCAAGATTCAATCAAGAAACACACATTGCATTTAGTTGTCATTATCTTTTGTTTCCTTTAATAGATGAGTTTTCCTTTTGTGTGTTTGTGTGGTGTGGTGTGGGGGATGATGTATGTGGTGGGGTTGTGTGTGTAGTGCATCTTTCATGATACCAGCTTTATTAAAGAGTTCAAGGTCAGTTTGTGGAATATCTCACAATCTAGATTTTTTTTTCTGATTGTTTCCTAATTATTAGATTCAGGTTAAACTTTTGAGGGGGGCAAGAATACTACATACGTGATGTTTCCTTCCTATTGCATCACATCAGAAAACACAATGTCTAGTTGTCTCTCTCTCTTTTAAGACAGTCTCACTCTGTTGCCTGGGCTAGAGTGCTGTGGTGTCAGCCCAGCTCACAGCAACTTCAAACTCCTGGGCTCAAGTGATCCTCCTGCCTCAGCCTCCCGAGTAGCTGGGACTATAGGCATGCACCACCATGCCCGGCTAATTTTTTCTATATATTTTTAGTTGGCCAATTAATTTCTTTCTATTTTTAGTAGAGATGGGGTCTTGCTCTTGCTCAGGCTGGTCTCAAACTCCTAACCTTGAGCAATCCACCCGCCTCGGCCTCCCAGAGTGCTAGGATTACAGGCGTGAGCCACCGCACCCGGCCATGTAGTTGTCTCTTCATATTAAGAGTATCAGTGGGTTCAGGTGTTGTCTGCCTGATCCAATCATTATCAAGTTCCATAATTCATTAAGCTCTGAAATTCCATATGCACACATTTTATAGAGTGTGAGGCTGTGCATATATGCATTCATTTCTTAATATTCTCAGAGATCAAAGATACCTAAAAGATGATAACTGTTAGATGTTAGAGCAGTAACAAAGAATTCATACCTTTCCATTTAACAAGGCAGGGGAAACAGGAGTGTTTCCTGTGCAAGCAGGGTGTGAGTATGCCAGCTAGTGAGAATTCATACATCCTGGAGCCAGAGTTGAAATATGCATAACTTTTTTTTCTCCCCATCCTTGGTGACTTGCCATCAAACCCATGATTTATCCACAGAGAGCCTGTGTTCTTGTTGAGGATGATTGCCAATTGTTGTGTATGTGAGATATTGCAATGGGTTACGGCCCTCCAAAGGACCACGAGATATAAACAAATATGAAGTATGTATGTGGTATTAAAATTTGGGGGGGATGGTGCAGGGGATGGGGGGAGATGACTAGGAGTAAAATGTCTTTAAAAGGCTCCACGGGGCAAACACAATGAAAACAAAATAGATTGAGATATACTAATCTAGAGTCATTTTCTGCTTCTTAGGTTAATTTTCTTTTCCCTGGGTGTTTTCTCATGTCTAAGGGCCCAAAGTCTCAGAGCCAGAATAAGTGGAAGAAACTTTGACAGACTTCTCAATCCATTCCTTCTACCCCCAAAACCATGTCAGTAACATTGGAGGTGAAAGATCTATTCTCCTCCCACAGATCTTCAGGCATAGAAATTCTACAGCATCCTTTGGTAAACACTTTTCAACACCTGAAATCTTTCCATTCAACTTGGGTCAAAGTATCATCTTTGAGTTTCAGCACATCTTTTCTAGCACCCCACTTTTAGAAAGGTCCAAAGACTATATAGGATAAGTAAAAATACAATAAATGACAACTTTATTTGCATATCCATTAAATATTTGAAGACTGTTGCCAGTTGTCCTTCAGTCTTCTTCCCCTGAGAGTTCTCCCAGGGCAGCATTCTCTGGAAAGTCCTGTTACTCTATTGTTGACCATTTCTGCACTTCAACTTGAAACCTTCCCAAAGGTCTCCATGCCATTCTGTGTTATGGATATGAACAACAGTGAACGTGATAAATTATTGCATGCCTTCTCCAAACTAAATTGTCTTTGCTAAACCCTGACTTGCTTTTTATACATTGGTAGGTTTTCCTTTGTAATTGCTCATACAAAATTATTACCTATATTATATTCAAGCATTTTGGTTTATATTCCTGACTTTTCTTTCTTCTTTCCTTTAACATCCCTCATTAGATTATACTGTTTTGGATTTCTTTTTAAAAGCCCATCTCTTTAGCAAAACATTACAGTTCCTTTATTTAATAAAGGAATAGAGTTCCTCTCATCTTTTTATGCTGATTTATGCCAATCTGTCATTCTGGTTAGTGATGGAACCATGTCATTTTCTGTGGTCCCTAACCTTATGTACCTTCCAAATTCTGTGGGTATCACACTGTGAGAAAAGTAATGCTGTAGGAAAAGTATGGCCATGTCTTCAAGAAACGTGTACAAAAGCACAATCACTAAAGGGAGTTGGAGGTATCATTTGGATAATACTGTTGTTCTTGCTCTGATAGTTTTGGTTCTTAAAGAAATTGGTGATTCTCTTCTAGAATTAGCCAAACAAAGTGTGGAAATTATGTTTATTTTCCGGCTTTAAAAAATACATCAACAAAAAAGCTTTTATAACAGATTGTTTCCCTCTGGGCAAGTATTGATTCTGGGTAAGAATTTTTAATGACTGTATAAGGATTTGTATGAATTACAGAGAAAAGAGCTCATTTCTAATCAAACAATTAAGCTGTTTTACTATCTTCTAGTGTTCTGATTTCAAAGTTTTCCTTATCTTTTTTACATACTTCAGAAAAATGTTTACTATATTTTTAGTTCAATTTGTGATTGAATTAAGGGCTTGACGATAAGAAAAACAGACTAACACAATTAGAAAAGCAAAGTAAAACTAAAGGATATTTATGAAATCAGTTCTATATGGGCTTAGGAATTCAAATGTCACAAATAAAAGAATATAACCATTATCTAGTCCGTCTTTTTGTAATGCTTGCTTTATTTCTGTGACAAATAAATTCTTCATCTTGCAGTGGTCCTAGAACAGATAAATAAAAGGGAAAATGTTAATTCTACAAAAACTAATTCAAAATTCATTTGAAAACACATGGACATATTTTCATTTTAGCAGGAGTTCCTATACCCATCACAGAATTTTCCAGGAGGGCATCAAACATACAGGTTATCTTTTCAGCAGATTACTATGGTACATTTTTCTTGCAGTAAGATCCAATATTAAATTTGATGATAATCTGGCATATAAATAATAAAAATATTTAATCACAGAAAAGCTCTTCAATCTGAGTAACTGAACCTAAGTTTTAATAGTCCCTAGTTTGCCTCCATCTTACATGTGTCACCTTGCATAGTTTATTTAATTGTGCCATATCCCAGACTTCTGAATTTTTAACTGGGCTTATAGATTT